GCTCACTGCAACCTCCGCCTCCCAGGTTCAAGTGATTCTCCTGCCTCAGCCTCCCAAGTAGCTGGGATTACGGGCATGCACTACCATGCCCGGCTAATTTTTGTACTTTTAGTAGAGGTGGGGTTTCACCATGTTGTCCAGGCTGGTCTCGAACTCCTGACCTCAAGTGATCCACCTGCCTCGGCCTCCCAAAGTGCTGGGGTTACTGCATGAGCCACTATGACCGGCCAGGCAATATAAATTTGAACAAATGAAGACCGGAAGGGAGGTCTGAAAGAAACATCACCCTCTCTGCTTCACCCGTGCCCTGCCAATTCTAGGCTTTCACGGAGACGCAGAAGAAACGGCTGCTATCTTGGAAACAGCAAGTGCTGAAGCTCCTCCGGACATTCCCACGCAAAGCCGCACTAGAGATGCAGAACTACCGGCAGCAGAAAGGGTAGGCAGGTGGCCAGGGTACAGGGTCCTGGCCTCCACAGGCCTTTGCTGGCTAGCAGATCGTGCTTAGAGGGATGATTGTGTTCTGGGCTGGGAATCCAGTTTTATTCAGTCACTGGGTGACTTTCCCAGAAGAAAATGTCCCACTAGAATAGGATGCCGAGCTGGAAAACAACACATGCCCCATGAGCAGGCCCCTCATATGTACCTTGCTCCTCACCTGTATACAGAGGGCCTGGAAGTCCCGTCTTAGACCAGACAGATAACAGAAATGTCTCCCTTGAGAATTGAAGTTTGGAGAACTGTTTTGAGTGGACAGTGAGGAAACCCTTGTATACTTCCCATCTCCTTCCGGGGGGTACTCTTGGGACAGATGGGGACAGAATGTGTGATGAAGGTTTATGTTCTCTCCTACCACTTGGGGTTGTTGGGGAAGGTGAGGAAGAGGTAGACAGATGGGCCCCATCTACATAAATTAACACCCTGCCTTCTGCTCTCTCACAGCTGGGCGTTCGGCTCCAACTCGCTCCCCATAGCTGGTTCTGTGGGGATGGGAGTGGCCCGGCGTACCCAGCGGCAGTTCCCAATGCCTCCCCGGGCCCTCCCACCCGGCCGGATGGGCCTCCTGAGCCCCTCGGGCATTGGAGGTGTCTCCCCTCGACATGCCCTCACCAGCCCCAGCCTTGGAGGCCAGGGCCGACAGGTAAGCTGACTGGAAACAGGGGCCATGGCCTCCTGGGGTTGGGGTGGCAGTACCTGGGATGTGTATGTCTGTATACTCTGTGTCTGGACCCAGCTTAGAGGTGGCAGGGGTGGGAGTGGGAGAAGGCCTGTACCACCTCCACCACTCTTGGGTCTGGGCCTCTTCCCCACTCACTACTTTCTCTCTTCCTGGGAACTGTGTAGAACCTGTGGTTTGCCAACCCTGGAGGCAGCAACAGCATGCCCAGTCAGAGCCGCAGCTCTGTGCAGCGCACCCACTCGCTCCCGGTCCACTCGTCACCCCAGGCCATTCTCATGTTCCCTCCAGGTGAGGTGCCCCACCCTTGGGAGTCTGCCTGGCCAACACCCTGAGCTGACCTCTCTCTTCTCTCCTGGGTCTCCTGTCCACTGTTCCTTCCAGACTACTTGGGCACCTCTCCCCATACCTTGCAACACTGTACACCCGTCTCGCACAATTGTGGGGGATTGTTTTCCTCCTCTGCTTCAATTTCATCTCTCAGGTTTTGCCCCTACCCCTCTGAATCATCATCTCTCACCCCTTACTCCCACCCCATCTCATGTTTCCCCCCCCTCCATGTCATAATCTTAGTGTCTGTGTTGGTCTCTGTCATCATCTCTTTCTTTTTTTTTTTTTTTTGAGACGGAGTCTTGCTCTGTGCCCCAGGCTGGAGTGCAGTGGCGCGATCTCGGCTCACTGCAAGCTCTGCCCCCCCGGGTTCACGCCATTCTCCTGCCTCAGCCTCCCGAGTAACTGGGACTACAGGCGCCCGCCACCTCGCCCGGCTAATTTT